TATCAAGTGTTCCTGGAGATCTTAATTAGCTGGTGTGTTTGCCAGGTTAGAGCTAAGCTTTGCAGGAAGGTAGATCCCCAGGAACAGGCCTGGATGAATGCTGTGTAAGGCTTCTAGATTTTTTTGAAAGACGTAAAAACCTTTGCCTTTTGACCCATTCTTTATGTCTGCAATTGGCATTTTTATATTGCACTGTTTAAACATTAAAACAGATTTAAATACGCTCCAGCATCCCTGCTACATGCTAAGACAGTGGTTCCCAACCACATTCCTGGAGACCCCCCACCCCCCCAGCACTGCAAATTATGAATGTCTATGTTGTCTGACACACCCGTTTCAGGTCTTTAAGGCTCTATTAATGAACTGATGACCTGAGTCAGGTGTGTTTGGGAGAAGACATGTTGAGGGGCTCCAGGAATGTGTTTGGGAACCACTGCACAAGCAAGCGGTTGGGAAAATGGATGGATGGATCTGATGGCCAAGACTCAAGAGACTTGGACTGAGATTAATAAGTATGATATTCGAATTTGTCACCAAACTGGAATAGCTCAAAATGGCAACACAAACCTCAAACATCAACTAACATCAAACCTCGCCAGTTCTAGCACATCGTGTGACCAAACAGCATGACATTTGACACTATATTTGATGTAGTCTTATAGTATGGTGATATAGTCTGTAGTTGGAAGATAGTAGTTGACTTTTTTTGGAGCATAAAAGTTTTGGATCCTATTGACTTGGAAATTTGGATGCTCAAACGTTCTTCTTTTTTGTTCCACAGAAGAAATAAGTCATACAGGTTTGAAATGACATGAGGCTGACTAAATGATGACAGAAAGGTACCTGCTAGGACATAACTCAATATGAGAGGGAACGTTTGAGGAAACAGAACCAGCAGGGAAATAAGACCAATGACATGGAAGGGGGCAGTGGCGGCTTCCAGAGAGGAATTGCATCTGGAAAAGAAAGAAAGAAAGAAAGAAAGAAAGAAAGAAAGAAAGATGGAGAAAGAAAGCTAGAAGCCAAAGTATGTGGGTAATCCCCACACAAGAGCACAGTCACCCAGAACTCTGTTAGTAATCCAAACCTTCATAACAGCTCCTGGCTCAAACATGATCCCAATGACTCAGCTCTCTAAACCAACACCTCAAACATGAACATCACTGCTCAGATATGCCCTTTTAAAGGCAATGTACTGTCAGCACTGAACACTGAGCCAGGCCAAAGGCCCTCACACTGAATATCCATGGCTAGTTTTCCCAGTTAAAGCAAAGATCCTGTCAGAGCTGTGTAAATGTCTAAACAAATCCACATGATAAGGTTAGAGAATTAGGACAAAGAAGAGATAGATCCATCTCAACTACACACTCTTACTACATATTGGTCTTGACTTTATTCACCCCCCCCAAAAAAAGCACGTCGTTCAGCCCATCTTACAGAGGTCTCAAATGAGCTGGTCTCAACTACAAGGTTATCATACATTTAAATATAACATGTCAAGACACACTGAGGCAGGATTGATGTCAATAATATTCAACATTATCATTGGTTCCCGCCAGTCTCATGACTGCCTGTCATTAATGTCAAAAATGATCGCTGAATGACTTAAATCTGAACCTGTACCTCACACAAAGCTGTCACATGACTTGGAATAAAGTGTATGAACCATATGGACCACTTTATGACATTTTATGGTGCTTCCTGGACCTTGACAGCTCCACCCCTTTTCACTGTGAGGAAAATAGGGAACTTCTGTCTCATCTCCATTTGTGTTTCACAGAAAGTCATTTGGGTTTGGACCGACCTCAGGATGAGTAAATGATGACAGATCTTTTATTTTTGGCCAAACTATTCCTGTCATTTTCAGCTCTCTTTCTAGTTGGCTCTAGCTAGCAGGACGCTTCTCTCTACCCAGATGCTTCAGATGTTTTTTATCAGTGCTGCAGCGAGGCCAGTGTTTATATGTGACTGACAAGCCATTTCCTGTGTCAGAGGAAAGGAGGGAGCGAAAGACCAAGTGAAAGGAAAAAGGGAGGTTAAACTAGGTCAACAATAGGAAGAAGGGATTTTTCTATGTATGGCACAATTCCTCAAAGAAATTGATGATGTTCAACTATATATATACTGTTCACATAAATGCGGTCTGCATGCCCTATAACTGAAAGACATATAATATATGCAGCTGAAGGGCCCTCAGATATGTTTGTTCCAGCAGGGGGAAAAAAAGAGAGGGCAATTCAAACCACATTGCACCCACGTCAATTACAGACACATTATCTCACCCCCTCACAGGTACATTTTTTGACTTTACGGGGCATTCTTGCAGATTCGTGCCGCTTTTCGAGGGTTGAAAGACACTGACATCACCCCCTGTCATCCCTCCAGCCGCCCACACACAGTTGTCATCTCTGTGTGAACATGACTCCGTGGGTTTGAGGGGCCGCTCAATCCTCCATGTCGACTATGTCTGACTTTATGTCTCCAGTTCAGGCCAACCACATCAAAACCAAAAGCCCAAAAGATTTTCGGCTACTGAACACCAATCATATCTGAGCATGTCGGCCCATATACACCCAAACATACTCATATTGCAGTTTCTCGGTTTGCTGTTTAAATGACACAGTATAAAAACTACCGTAAATGAGTAATTTAAGAGATATTTACAAGAGAAAACAATTTTGCTCATATCTCCGTTAAAATAAAAAAAAACTTTACAGCTATATATTTGTATCAGTTGCATATTTTACAGCAGTGTTTGTATTATTTATATATTATTGCAGTATTTATTTTGAATTAGCTTTTATGTTTATATTTCCAGTTTTCATTTTAATTTTAGTTAAAGTTTTAGTAGTTTTGTTATGTGCTTTTTTCATTTTTACTATTTTTGATATATTTCTAGTATTTCATTTTAAACTCAATTTAAACTATTTCAGTTAGGTGCCAAGTTAAGTTTACATTTCTCAGCTATTGTTTAGAGTTTATTATATTTCAGCTTTATTTCAATTACTGAAAATTATTTTTAATAGTTTAAGTTTTAGTTTTAGTTAACAACAACAGCACTGCTTTACAGTAATGTATTTACATTAGAAGTATGAGAAGTCAATGAGGGTCTAAAAGCCTAACTTTAATGCTTTATTTAATTTAACTTATTTATTTATTTATTTCAGTCATTAAATACATGTTGTTTCAATGCACAAAGTTGTCTAAATTGTCAATTTTGAAGTGAGACTACCTTTTTTGCTGGAAGAATTAAACTTGTTGTCAGCATTGTTTCTGTTGGTAAAGTTTGCCTCATGTAAGCAGTCCTTTATGCTTTATGTCTTTATGAGAAGGATTTGCTGGTTAGCCCCTGCTGGTGGATAACAACCGAGAAACAGCAAGAATGGGAATGTTAACTGAAAGCTTTCTCCAGGTATTATAGACCTTGTGAGCTTTAATGATAATTACAACACATCCCTTTCATTTATCCTTATCATGCAAAAGTTCACAGAGTTTAAATGGCCATGACATGAGATAAAAGGCACATAAGAAACTTCACTTTTTAAACTCAAGTAAAGAGCACCAAACATGACATGTGGAAGAAAAAATAGATATGGTGGCCTCAAAGTAAGAATATTGTTTTAATCATGCCACAATTTAGCTAAAACAAGGGAAGAATTTAGTCAACATTAACTAAGATGAGGGTATGGATTAGTACAATGTGGCCACAATGTAACTAAAATGAGGGAGTTATAAGTTAATAAAGCGCTTTGAACAAATTCTTAATTTGTGCCCCCGATATATAGCTTTCTCTCCCAGCATGTCATGTATTGGGCTCTGTACTTAGGAGTACATCATTTTTAGTGGTCACAGATGTTGTAGATAAAGTATGCCACAGATACTGCCCATAGAGCTGAAGTTGCATTGAGCCTGGAATATTTCTTTAAGCATGCCCTCCCCCCTACAGCTAGCTTCCCCCACCAAAATCCCACAGCTTTGAGCCTCCAAATCAGCAGAGGAAGTGCATCGTTACTCTAGCAAGACTGGTTGGCGTCAGCGCGGGTCACAAGGGCTTTGTGGATTCAGCTTCCTAGAGAAAGGGTGAGCTGCAGAGGAGGTCTACAAAACCTAAAACCTCAAAACCCTGGCCGCATTCGAAGCACAGATTGTTGGCATTTCCCACTTTTATTAAATTTCCCATCGGGGAGGCATATCTATCTGTTTGACAGATTGAGGTTCTGGAGCTAAGAGCTGGATCCACTGGTCTTAATGGTGCGGACTGGCCCATTTCTCTGGTGCTCCTCTAAGTCTGCTGCCTCCCTTTTGGTCTTTTTCCACCTGCAGTGTCTCAGACGCTTGGCCATGTGTCAGCTAAACTGGTTTAGCATTGTATTAGCGTTAGGCTAAGCAGAAAAAGTGGTTGCAGGTGTTCTGACCATCACTCAAAATATCTGACTGCGTCTAGACGCAGACGCTACATATTTAATGCACTGTATCTATTCAGAGACCATTGGATGTAAATTCATGCATTCAAGGAATAATTCACATTTCTTTTATTTTTTTATAATCTTTAAAAATCCTGCAAGCTTGTGTTCATTTCAGAATGTTTAAGGGCATAATTTGCAACAATATTGGTAGGAATCAACAATATTTGATGTCCAACATGGAGTAATGCGGTCTGTTTGAATGTGCTCAAGCATGAATGATATGAAAGAAAGATTTTCTCTTTTCGTATTTGTCACATGAAGCTACCAACGCACTTCTGAATATGTGTACAAAATCCTTACTCTTGAATGTAAACGAGCAGTGAGGACATTCTGCTAAACATCTCCTTTTGTTTACCATGGAAGATATAAAGTTGTAATGGTTTGTAATGACATGAGGTTGAGTAAATGTATGCAGAATATTAATTTATGGGTGAACTGTCCCTTCAACATATCCCACCTTCATAGAAACACAAATTAGACACTTCTGTTAAACAAAGAACATAAATTACTTTATTGAAAAATAGCAAGTGGAAATACACAAAAACATCTTTGCTCCAAAAAGACTGCATAGCATTTGGTTTGTGTTATACGTCCAACATATAAACAATACGTAGACAGGCAGCTTTATTGTGGCTTTGGAAAAAGACGACAAGATGATAAAGGTTTCACGGAAGACCTTTCTCGAATGAGAGCCTGCAAATTCTATTCACTTCAGGTGGCTTGGAGTGAACTTTGTACATAACTTCTAAAACCAAATGACCTTTCTTGTGTGTTTTTGACACCTTATTCAGTGTTTAAGAACATAAAAACATCCAGGAGATGCCGAATGATGTAATACCTCGAAGCTCGGATTACAGAGACAAATTCCAAAGCCTAATTGAACTTCTTATTAAAACAGGTCTTTGGTGTGCTTTTCAGCCATCAGTCTAGAGATAAAGCCAATGCATTTGTCAACAGGCCTGCGCTGCAACAGCTGTCTCAATACATCCCCGCACGTCTGTGGAGATCTTGGTGAGAGATGACCTCTCACCACACATGCTTTATAGCAGCTGCCCCCTCACAGTCCCGGACCAGCCGGCACCGAGGTGCATCCTGGGAATCCACGAGAGCCAGTCTGTGGGCCCCCTTCCCACGACAAAAATCTGCAGTCTACATTTAACAGGCCGTTACTGTAGACACTTTGTGTGTGAACGTGTGTAAGACTAACACTGGTAAAAAAAATAAAAATAACATCATCAGTCCTCTGGCTTGTGGAAGCAAAGATAAGGCACTTTGTGCTTCTAAAACAGCGTCAGTACATTTTCTACGAGTCCAGACATTCACTTATGGCTTAAACCCATCCCAGCTCAATGCCGAGAGATGGCCTCTAGGCAGACGGACAGCAGCCGGAGAGGGTGTGTTTGTGCAGGAGGGACATGCGGCTGAAGGTACGAGAGCACGTTGCACACTGGTACTTCTTCACTTCAGCATGGGTCTGCAGGTGAGCGCGCAGGTTCGAGCGGTCCGCAAACGCACGGTTACAGTGGGGGCATGAGAAGGGACGTTCACCTTAAAACAGAGATGAAGAATTTTGTTTTTAGTATACACATATATATATGTATAACCTCTACAGTTTCTGCAAACCTTCAACCTTCAAAACCTTCAGAACCTTCAAAACTCGTGCCGCTCTGATTGGTTGTTTTGGGTGGTTGCTTGGGTATTCGCTTTAAAGAGCCAATCCCTAGGTTTCTATAATATTCTTGTCTCAAGATAAGACTTTTTGGGAGGCCTTTATTCAGATAGTCAAGGTTGTACTTGGTTAGCCCCTGCTAGTAGATGCACCAGCCAAGAAACAGCCATTGACAAGAATGGGAATGCTAACTGAAAGTTTTCTACAGATAGCATAGACCTTGTCAGCTTTAAAGGTAATTTCACCACATCCCTCTCGTTTATCCTTTCAGTATCATGCAGAAGTTACCAAGTTTAAATGACTATGAAATGAAATGAAAGATTGAATATAACAAACATAACTTTTTAACTCAAGTACAGGGCCCCTATTGTGTGGACAATAGTCTCCATATATATACTTTTTGGGATTTTATCACCAGTCTGCCAAACTGAAATGATAAATCTGGTGGCTTGAAAAAGTAATAGCACACCTCTTCCCAATAAGCTGCACAATTTGAGGCTTGCAGGATGAGTTTAATCCTTCAAAGTTAAGGGTTGACTTAGCATGCACCACTAACAGCCTCAATGCATCAGCTCACTCACCGGTATGTGTGCGGATGTGTCCTCGCAGTAACCAGGGTCTGGAGAAGGCCTTTCCACACGTGGTGCACACACAGGGGAGTGTGTGCGAGCGGATGTGCATCTTGAGCGCACCCAGACTGTTGTACTCTTTGAGACAGTGCTTGCAGTGGAAGGCGGCTCTAGTGCTTGTGCTGGCGGCTCCTGCAGCGGTAATGACCGTCTGCGGGCTGGCGGTGCAGTGCGTAAGCTGATGGCGAGAAAGCGCAGCCGGGCTGCTGCAGGTCTTGCCGCAGTGGGCGTACTGGAAGCGGTCGGTGGGGTCTGGGCTGGGGGGATCAGATGTACGGCAGTCGTCCTCCTCTCCGCTGCTGCTGGAGCTGGACTGAGAGCTCAGGTCCAGAGGCCCAGGAGGAGAGGGGATGCTGGGTGACTCCGCTGTGAAGGTAAGGGGTAAGGCACTGGTGGTCCACACAAGCATGGAGGGATAGGTGGGCACCACAGAGTCGCCTTCTCTAATGGGGAAGCATTGTGGGACGACAGCATAGCTTTGGTCTGGGGAGAGAAAAGGTGCCCGTTTAGATGGTTGTTGGACTGCATGAAAACGGTTCAGTTTGTTTGAGGTAGTACTTTCTTGTTTTTATACTCTCCAGCCTTTCAAACGCACACTTTATTTGGTTAGTAACTACTGAATGTCTACTCCATTAGTACGCTCTGACTCACTTTTTGAGATATCTTAATCAGATTAAATTATTGTGAAATACTACAGCTGAAGCAGTTCAGCGGTTAGATAAACTTCACATCCTGCAGTTTGTGCAGATGCCATGGTGGAAAAAAAAAATCTAATTCAAATATGTTTTAAAATTGTACGATAAAAACAAAATAACTAAAAGTAATAACTTAAGTCATTAAAATATGATAATAAAATACTAAAAAAAAATGATGTCAACATTTATGGTGCAGGATGTTATGACAACTTTGTGTGAGGTTTTGGCTAAACATAAGCTGTTTTAATTCACATACTGATATGGCATAAAATAAACATAAACAAGCAGCTCTTAAAGGCACACTCACCGGTCTGACTCTCCAGTTCACTGTAGTTTGGCTTCTTGTTGGAGAAATATTTCTTGACAAGAAATGAACGTGGCATTTTGTAATGATCCTCCTCAAACTTCAGCGAAAGCTTTAGAGCAGCTCTAGATTGAAGCTGCAGTGTGAATCCCTTCAGAGTCGGAGTCTGCTTCAGATGCTCGGAGCGGACGGAAAAGTTTCTGATGAAGTTTCTCATGAACTAGTGCCATTCAGCCCACACTGGTCTCTTCATATGAGGCTGGGCTGAGAAAGGGGCGGGGCTTGAGCTCCATCCACGCCCCCCAGAACACCCACTGACGGACCCAGCCTCTGCAGGTGCCCTCGGGGGACACACCACTGCACCCAGCGCATATGCTCTATACTTAACTTGTGTTTATAAAACTTCAAAAACAAAAAACCGTTGATGAGTTGCTGTAAAACAACAGGTAAATTCTATATTAATGAGCTGTGCTGTAATGACCAGCGTTAAATGTCGTGCAGAATAAGTGGTGGTTGTGGAATCAGTTTGATTATTATAAAAACATTTGTAAAACTATTCTTTGAACATTGTAGTTTTCTTACTTTATGAATTACTTTATGCCCAATGCAGGTGACTAAATTTCAGCTTAAAGACACAAAAAAATGCACTGCAATAAATGTATACAATGAATATAATATTTAGATAACATTTTAATTAGACTATTTTTTAATAAATACTATGTGGGGTAACTTGTCACAATGGAACCTGCCATCAGCTAAACATTTATGAAACACAAAACAATTAAATAATCAGCAAAGTAAAACAGTGCACGGTCTATGTTTTCTAAATGAAAATGTTTTAACATCGACTTGCCATTTATGAACAATAGTTAGGCTACACTTGTCCTTAGAAGAACACAGTATAACCTTAAAATCTACACTGAAAACAAATGGTGAAACAGCTTTCACTCAGATATTGCTAGCAAATATCACAAAGACACAGCAAGCATCCTAATACTCTGAAGTAAACGTTACATTTTTAAACAGAAATGCTAAAATGGCATTTCTTGTGAAAACGTATCCAGTAATCTTTGTTTTATTTACTACCCTACTTAGAAATATAGGCTAGGTGTGCCTTTATTATCCTAGTCTATAGTTGAGTGTTATTACATTTTAGTTTGGAGGACGGAGAGAACAATCCACCGACTCAATGTTTAAAACCAATATTCAAAACTGCGTTTGAGAACGCTTTTTTTTTTGGCTTGACCACAAATGCAGCCTTGTGATACACAATTTCAGCGTGTGACAACTAGCCCCGGTCACCCCCACAAAGGGCGGAACACACGGGCTTAAATTTGACACAAAGCACAATTGCAAGTCATTTAACAATCATCTGGAGCACAAGCTCCTATTTATCCTTCATCTCCGTGATCAGAGGGCACACATCAGACTGATTTCCAGCATGGACACTGCGGGACATGAGAGGCTCTCAGCGGGTGTGTGGCTGAAAATTAACCCACTTTTCTGAACAAAAGTGTCCGTCCTGAATCCTCCTCTGTTGCGCCCCTCTCGTGCCTCGGGCGCATTCACCGCTCTGGAAAACGAGGTGCAAACTGTCCATCGGTTACTTTGCGAATTCATTTCTCATCGTGTCAGCCAGTGTGGCCATCAGATTGCTGAGGGTGTTAAGTGTGGTGGTTTAGCATTCATTCACCCTGAGTGCACCTGTGCTGTTCCGCAGTCAGGAATGCGGCGCATGTTAGCGGCTCTTCACGCGCAGTTCACGCCGACGCCGAGCAGACGCGGGTCAAACGAGCAGCACTGCCCTAAAACCCTCCACACAGCAGCCGCATTCCGACAACCACAGCCATTCCCGTCATACACATCACAATAAACAACCGTGCGTGCAGGCGAGGTGTTCTTCTCTTCTTGTGAACACACCAGATGCATGCAACAATATTTAGCTGTAAAGTATTGCCTATAGCCTACTTATTATATTTTTTTATTTAGAAGCTTTTATAGCCTACACCTACTTAAAACGAATTCCCTCTCATTTTTCCTAAGCCAACATCAAAGTTTTTTTGAACATTTTTATCTGTTATCTACGGTGACAGAGAAGTGCAAAACAAATCACAATTCTGAAAACAAAATAACAAATTACAAACGCAAATGCAAGTCTAAAAAACAAAATAACAATTCAGAAAACATAACAAGTCAGAAAACACAATGATAAATTCGAAAATAAGTCAGAAAACACAACGACAAATCTGAAAACAAATTAACAAGTCAGAAAACACAATGATAAATTCGAAAATAAGGCAGAAAACACAACGACAAACCGGAAGAGGTAGGTATAGTTTGAGACAGCGCCATTGGTTTGGGATTACTCACTGCTGACTGGACGAGACATCTGTCAATCAACGTATACAGGAAGAACCAGCCGAAGAACAGCAGAGTCGTGGTAGAAAGTTCGGAGATGGTATTAAAGTAGCTCAGTTTAAATGTATTGTATGAATTGCCCTTACTATGGAATAAAAAATAGGGGGTGTCTATTTACATTTAGTTAAAAGTGGCTGTAAAACATCAGCTCCAGTGGTGCAGATGGATAAGCTCGTGTTGTTGGCTATTTGACGCGATCAACCCGGGTTTGATTCCACCTTTTGCTGAACTTTTTTTTCCTCCCTTTTCAAATCTCGTATTAGCAATGGATTCTATTTACACTAAGTGAAAATAGCAGTATTTTTAGCAATATGCTATTTACACTAAGTGCAAATACCTATTTACACTATGTTAAAATAGCAGGATTTCTACTATCAAATATACTACTTGTTGCAAATAGTGGCAATTATCTGCACTTCAGTATTGTAGTACATTATAAAACAGTATGCAATAATAACGTATTGAGTGTAAATTATAATTTTAATTTAAATTATTAAATGGATGCCACCTTATTGGTACAATAAAGCCCTCCCTACACCTACCCTAACCCTACCTGATACTTTATTTTCAACTTTTTGATTATTTCTTTAATGTTTATTGAAAATAAATGCCTTTACGATGTGATACGAGATTTGAAAAGGGAGAAAAAAAAAGTTCGGCAAAAGGCGGGATCGAACCCGGGTCGACCGTGTCAAAAAGCCAAGGGCACACACTTATCCATCTGCGCCACTGGAGCTGATGATAAATGCCTTTACGATGTGATACGAGATTTGAAAAGGGAGAAAAAAAAAGTTCGGCAAAAGGCGGGATCTGTCATTGTGTTTTCTGACTTGTTATTTTGTTTTCTGAATTGTTGTTGTGTCTTCTGAATTGTTATTTTGTTTTTTAGACTTGCATTTGCATTTGTAATTTGTTATTTTGTTTTCAGAATTGTGATTTGTTTTGCACTTCACAGTCACCGTAGTTATCTGCTCTTTCATTGCAGTACACTAATGCATACATATTTATGAATGTGAAACATTGGCTGATTTCTGACTGCAGTGCAGTACAAGCATTAACTGTGTATTTTTGTCCAAAACAGCTCACGCATACAAAAGCTTTTAGTGTTGAACTGGGGTTCACATAATTTGCTGCACGCTAGGCCTGTCAGTGCACATTAGAAAACAGCCACATGTTGTGTTTTGTGAGCAGAGTGCCGTGATCTTTTGACCTGGACGCAGGGAGCACATAAAGCACAGAAATGTCCCGAGCTGAGAACAGATGTTTGCCTTGTGTTGCTCAGGAGAGACAGACACTCACTCAGCACAGTCATGAAAAGAGCATTTACACTCAGCAGCGCTCCAGCTTCATTCAGCACTCGCCCTATATGAGTCACGTGACTTCATCAACATCAGACATGTGATCAGAGTTCACTGAAAACTCCTGCACGTGTGTGTTTGCTGCTATGCATTATGAGACACTGAGTAGAGAAATTTTCAAATCAATTCAAATTTACTTCTATAGCGCTTTTCACAATACACATTGTTTCAAAGCAGCTTTACAGAAAATGCATGTGTCTACATTACACAGCAGAAGTGAATGTGTCCAAGTAATGTTCATTTCACGAATAGACAGTTCAAGATCTTATTTTGTTCAACTATTGCACAAAACAAACACAGAACAGCTATTTGAAAACGATAAATATTTTAAACACTATTTTAATATTTGACTATTTATAATATTTTACTGTAAGTGCAAAATCATAAAGACTACAGTTCAAAATTTTGGGGATGGTGATATTTTTTTAATGTTTTTTTAAAAAGTCTCATATCCTCATGAAGGCTGCACTTATTTGATAAAAAATACAGTAAAAACTTTAATATATTATAAAATGTCATTTATTCCTGTGATCAAAGCTGTATTTTCAGCATCATTACTCCAGTCTTCA